AGTGGTTTCCGCCCAAGTTGGAGGACTCCACAACCATCTTGTGGAGGAGGAGAAGGAGAACTTCACATCTTGTGAAGAACTCTAAGCGCTGCGGAGCCCAACGAACCCAGCGTGTGCCTTAAGGAGGATACAGGGGCCTGATCAACCTCTAGCCTCTCCCCGTCACTGCCTAATCCCTCCACGTACCCTTCCCTGCGTGCTTTCGTGGAGAGTCACCTTTTAGACTCTCATCGTGGTATCCAGAGCTCTTCGGGCGAGTTTTTGTAACTGCAACTTAAGCAAAGTTTTTCCTGCCTGCACCACGACCATCTACGGTGTAAGTAAAATAATCTTTAATCAACCGCTACACGTCCGTGCCTAATTCTAGTCCGCCGGCCTGCATTCCCCGACCCACGTGCCAGGGCTGCTGGCCACAGCCCGCTGCGCGCCCCCGAAAGCCTCGGACCGCTCCCAGCCCACACAATGTGTAACTTCTGTCCGTAGCCCAAAAGGCATCAGGATAAAGGGTCTCCTAGTAACTCCATGCAACAGCTGGCAACAGAACTTCCTTGTCCCTCTACTCTTAGGCTTGAAAATTTTGGCCATACTGTAGTGTGTACCTTACAAATTTCATCTGTTGCCTGCTCAAAGCAAGCTGCAGCGACAGTTATGCTGGTACTAAAAGGGGTCTGAAAAGCCGATCTAGGCAAGCAAATCAAACAAAACCAGTGGGAAAATGCTTGGCACTGGCTGCTCATAATGGCCCAAGTAGCACTTTGGATACCATCTACAATGAACTGGCTAGAGGTTGCATGATTTAGCACAGTGCACTTATCAGTCACTTAGACTGACCATCCATTAGGCAGTTCTTCCTGGAGTACAGCCCAGAAGTCTCAAGTAGGAGTGTCATAAATGGCAGCTAGAATTGAATTTCCTTTTTTTTTTTTTGCATAATAGTCACTCAGAAAACTAGTGCTCTGTCTGAAGTACATATCACTGCAAAAACTAAATACTGTCTGTAGCAGGCTGGTAGCTTCTGCCTGAAACACTGTTGGCTTATGTAGATGTGGCTGGGAAATTGTTAAGGAAATTTTTACTAATTTTGTCATGTAGGTGGCTCCTTACCCTATCTAGCTGTGGATGAAATAACTTTGGTAATCTGGACAGAGAGAAGGCTGAATCCAGTGGTACAAAGCAGGGCTTTGTGCTAGTGTCTCCTGTTTCTCCTGTATTTCTCACCATTAGACGGATGTGCAGGAAGCAATATAGCTGCAGTGCTCCCATGTCCTGCCAAAATGGCCTTGTGGGAACCAGAGACTGATGCATGCTAAAGTAGCCCTTATGACTGGAGGCTTTGCTCCTTGTCTTCTTTTCTCAACATGAGTTTTGCACTGAGCATAACTCAGGCAAATTTGAGATTTAGCCACTAATTCAGAGCTAGGCTTGGCTGCTTCTAGAGCTTCCAAGAAGATGGTTTACACTGAGTTTGTGATCTAATTGTTAATTTTTTGTTAATAAAACCAAACTAAAGAAATGGGTGAGTTTTTGTCATATAGAATATTAGATCAGGCCACTTGCAGTAACTGATTAACCTATGTTTAGGTCAGCTTATCCAGCTGGGCAGATTCTTCCTGTGTATTTTGCAGTAATTATTTAATGGATTATGCATAAAAGAAAGGTAGTCTGTCATGTTTAGACTAGGTAGTATGAAGCTGATGCAACTAGAACAATGAGATGCTTTACCAAGCCTTGTAAGTGGGGCTTTTTGGTGCTTTTATCTAATATCTGGCTGAATCTACTATTAATAAAAGTGCCAAAAAGTTTTGCTGAAGTGCCCGATCTCGATCTATACAGATGCTGAGGAGTCGGATCAAACTAACATGCTGCTTCTTCCTGTAAAGTGCACTTCTGTTCTGTTTTTTCATGTCTGTCAGCAGCCTTTGTGGCCACCACTCTTCTCCTGTAAGAATAGCTTAGGCCCTCTTTCTCCTCTTTTTCATGCCCCCCATTTAAAGTACATTCATGATTATATAAATGTCATGTACATCTATGCTGTAATATGTTCCAAGCATATGATGTATGAAAAGGCCAATGAAATACTACAGAATCTCAGCTCATCATTTTATCTATATATAAAATGATGAGCTGAGAATCTGTAGTGTGTGTGTGTGTGTGTGTGTGTGTATGTATATATGTATGTATATATAATTTCCTTGATTTTCATTGAGAGAGAGAAAAACTGATCACAGACTTATTGGAAATGTCATTAATAATACATAATCACAAGGGGGCTTGGATGTATCTGACATGAAAGCTGTAAGTTTGATTTTTCCTGACATTCATGGAATTAAAATCCTATGCATAATGTTGCACTGATATAGGTGTTTGCAAGAATTAATGCCTAGCTTGTCCTTACATACTTTGGAACAAATGTAAGAAATGCAATCCAATAAGATCTCAAGACAGTTGTTAATTCTTTGAATGTGTCTCTGCTAGAAAGTAAATATTTTCTCTGGTTTGGTATTTTTAGTGATTTGTTTGTGATAGTTATCTCCTAAATGCAACTCATGTGCGCACTGCATCTTTTCTAACCATCTGTTGCCATCTGCTGGTGATGATATTGAGTTGCCAGACTAGTGTGTGGTTGTTTCCAGTAGAAAATGTATGCCATACTGTATATAAATAGGGGCAATCTGGTAACAAACACATGGCAAATTCACAAATTACATCTCAAACAATCTGCCTTCTGTTATCAGATATTGCCATAATCTCCTGTCACCAACAATGCCATTTTTCTTATACCAAACTGAATTAAAATCTATAAAGGTATTCCCAGTTTAATTGTAATTATAAATGAAGAAAACAAGCTTCATTATTTCACAGTTCTTATCCCCCCTCAATTTTCCAGAGGGTATATCTACTGAATATTCTAGTTAGGAGAGCTTAAAGTTTATATATGCATGCATACACACAGTCTTATTTTTATACTCTTTCTTCTCCTCTGTCTCCCACATTATTCAAGAATTACATAGATGTGAGTGTATATTTGAATCCTTTATGTGTTTTTAAATAGAAATCTATATTACTCATCATTCAATCTGAAGGATTTGATAATCAGTTGGCTTGAAATCTGATTTCATTCTGCTGTTAAATCTGCAGAGGGGACTTGCCTACAGTAGTGCCACTGATTTCATTCTGGTTATGTTGGCTTTAGTCAGCCTTTATATTGTTGATAAATTAAGGTTTTATATATATCCTAAATTCAGCTCCTTGTGAGTTAAGATTATTTTATAGCCTGCCTAGAACCCACCTGTCCCTTCTGTTCACTTTCATGGCTACGTTCTGTGTGGCTATGGCATCTCCACTACCCAAGGAGATGGGTCTATGTGAGAGGTCAGTGTCACTACCAAAGGCCTAGAAAGTCAGGGTGTCCATGCTCAAAAACTTTTAGGTTAGGTGGGGGTGGGTATAAGTGCAGTATTTAGCCCATACTCTTTTAGAACAGACCTTTTAAAAAGGCCTCCTGAAACTTGAAAGGCGTGAAAAATTTTCTTAGCAATACAAGGGAAACTGTAAATTCAGACAAACTCTGAATAGCTTGTTTCAATCACTACCATAGACTGTAGCCTAATGTTAACAATAAACATCTTGCTTTTCTCTCTGTGTACGTTTAAAACTCTGTTCAGATTTCCTTATTTTTCTGAATGGAGCTGTTAGTATCCGTAACAATTAAGTCCGCTCCAGTCAGGCTGAGTCTCCCAAAGCCTTCTCCAGGAAAACCACTGCTGCAATACCCTTCAAATGCGGGCATGACTTCTAGCTGGTAAATTATAGGTAGTTATCCCTGATACAGCACTTGGCTTCCAAACAAAGGGGTCTGGTTTTAGGCCAATGCAGATGCATGAAAAAATAAGCCATGTTGAGTGCACACGTTTTCTGAACCACTGACAAATTCATATTCAGCTGATTCCAAACAGAAGGCAGAGTAGCTCAGCTACACCTTTTGGAATGATTGAAACTTTTATGTTATATTAAAGCTTATATTATAAGACAAGTCTGGTAACATTTTTCCTTACATTTGTTTGGACCTGAACCTGCCACACTGGGTGCACAAGTAATGCTGGGTCAGACACTGTGTACATCTGATGTTGCATTATCAACATGCCTGTGATACCATCATGAAATCGTATCTTTGTGCTCTGTCCTGCTGGGGGTTGGGCGAACCCTCCTGGAATCCAGTGGGTGTAAGAGCTGTCCTTCGTTCAGGATAAATAAATGTCAGAATCTGTTAACTGCCTTTATCGATTAAAGCAGCCGAAACAATAAGAACCACTATTGAAACACAGGCCACATGAAATGTCAGTCAGAAGATGAGGTATGTGAGAAGTAGAGAGGTTTTACTGGATGCAAACACAGATAACTGGGCATCTTTCTTGGTGTGGGGGGGATGGATAGTGGGGGGAAGATGAGAGAGTGACCAGCAGCAAGAAATGCCACGGAAGCAGAAAAAATGTACCAGAGATGGTCAGAGAAGTATATGTAGCATAACCCAGAGACAAAGCTAAGGGAGAGAATTTTCTGCAGAGTGCTGGCTGGAAAAAGAGGCTTAGAGCACTGAGCAAGGAATTGGTTACCTGTAATTTCATTACTGCTGTATTTATGGAAACAGGATTTTGTGCTAGATTTCATATCCAAAAAGAACTTCTGTCCATTAGTCCTCCCTTGCCAAAACAGCTCAGAAAGCCTAAAGTTTGGCAGATACCTCAGGTCAAAAGGGGTAAAGCAGGGCTTATAGCCTGTTTATGGTGGGAATGTTTTAACTGCCCCTTACTCAGATGCTAAATTACTCGATAAACAATCTCCTTCTACTACAGAATGTATTGCTGCTTCCCTGTAAACCGGAGAGGATGTTTCAGTAGACAAACTGTGTGTTCTTGTTTTGGAGCTAGTGCAGTGGCTCTCAGCTGTTATTCCCATGAGCAGGTGGTGTAAATCAATAGCTCAATAGCTCTATTCTGTAAGTACCCTAGCAGGAAGCAGCATAGCTGTCCTCAGGGAGAGCCCTTGAAGAGATTCCTCTTAGTGTGTGCGCGGAGGGAAGCCAGGAAAAGGACTACATGATGAAGTTCTGCTGCGGACTCCTGTTGTTCTGCTCAGGTAAACTCAACAGTTGGTTCATTTAGGGGCTGATCCATTTCTTTTGTGTAGCACCACAACTTGCTATGTATAAACTGACTTGTTCTCATGTGTGTTAAGGAAATCAATATACTTGTAGGAAAGCTCTTTTTATGGACTGGCATGGTTGACACTGAAAACCTGTTAAATAGTTGCTTGGAAGTGTGTGGTACCTGCTAAAAATATTCACATTTTAAAGACTTGCTTAAAATACTTAAGCTGGAAACTTTCATATTTAATCATTGTATACACTATTTTCAAGATGAGAGCTGCTTTTCCCCCTCTAAATACATTTTGCCATGCCATGCTCTAACGTAGCACTAAAATTGCATAGACATCTATGGGGATTTTTAGTAAATATAATTTGAAATGCATTATATTATAACAAGCAACTCCTCTTAATTGTGGAGAATACTGATAAGGAAATGGAATTGATTGACAGCTGCATGTGTTGTACAGAGACTTTTCATAATTCCAATTAAATTTTCCCTTAAGAGACTAATTCTTTTTGTAACTTTAAATACTCTTTACCAAGCTAAAAGAAAAAAAAACTTACTAGATTTCTGTCATGTCTTATTGGAATAGACCAGTATAGATAAATTTTAATTGGATTCCTAAAATCCAATATAACTCTTGACCTAAATATGACTCTGTGATCATAACCTACCAGCTGAAATACGACACCAGATACTAATCTTTCTGCCCTAGAAGCAGGAAATGTTGATGCATAGCAGGCTATCAGGTATACTTCCTGTTGATGTCATCAGAGAACTTTAACAGTAAGTTATTTCATTTCAGTAAATATGATCTGTTTGGAGAAGTGTGTTTCAAATAGCATAAAACACATAAGAATAGGAGCAGGGTAAGGCTGAGTTCACAGAATCAGCTCAACCAGCTAAGAGCACCTCACTAAAACTCACACAGAATCCAAAGGCTGAAATCCTGGCTCCACTGAACTGCAGGGCCAGGATCTCACCCAAAAGCCTATGCAAGGGTCAAAGAAAAGAAAACACGAGGTTGGGATTTCCAAAAGCACTCACTGCTGAATTAACCCTCCTTTCATTGGAATCATGATCTATTGCTTGCAAAGATCACTGTTGAGGAACAGAAGGATTTGTGGAGCCTGTCTTTCCCTTCCGTGTTGTGCTTTTGACACTGGCTTAAGCTCATGATATAATATACCTGTTCTCACAGATGGCCTTGTAATGTGCCTCTATGGAATTGGAGCTCATAAAACTATGCTTCTAGTGGCCACATCTACATGAGACACGGACTGCACAGTAGCCTAATAATACTGAGCAGTAGCGTCACATGGCAAAAACCATGATGAGATTTTATTACACAGTAGTATTAGTCTACTGTGAAGTAGAATCACAAAATAACACTACTGCCCATTAACTCGGGTTACTGTGCAGTCATTTAATACTTGGTTATACTAGTACTTGTTTAGTACTAGTACTAAACAAGTACTAAATGACTGCAGTAATGACTAAACAGTCAGCCTCTTGTGTAGATGCAGCCAGTGAAAATGGCTGATAGTAGCTTATAGTATGTTCTTAATGCACTGCATGTTAAATGTTCCCAAATTGATGAGGGCTTGTGTTCCACATTGTGCAAAATGTACAAGCTACTTCTACATAGTAACTCTTAGCTTTCTATCCATTCTGAACCAGATGTATACAATCACCTTCTAGAGAAGAATTGAAAAATCCATGGGAAGTAGACTGTAAAATAGTCCTTAAGGTTCTTATGACCATAAAATAAAAAAATGTGTGCAAAAAAATCTCTAAACCCGAGCATTTCTGTATACCATATTTACTCAAATACAAGATAAGGTTTTTTACCCCAATCAGCATGAGGAAAAAAGTCCCTTCTCTTACATTTGCATACAAGGAAACCTCATTAAATGCAGTGTCTATTATTAAACTGCTACCAAAAACAGCATGTGCTCAGTAATGGAAGCCAACTATGAAGTTGATTAAATGCAGGCAACAGTGAGCATGACCATAAAACACATGACCTGTATTGAGCAAACATTCTGATGGGAACCTTTTTATGTACAAATTTTATTAAAAACACACTTACCCTACCCTTATTAAGTATCCTTGTTTTACCAAAACTTTATCCCACAAAAACAACCATATATCCAAAAACATACAACTACATATATTAAACCCTTAAACAACATACATCAATTTCCCACAAAAAAAAACATTACAGAACTCTTTTTCTTCATAAAGAACCCCATGAAAAACTCTTACCTCCGTAGCAACTGAGATTCTCCACCTGAAACTCTCCCCCCCCGCTCTTTCATCAGTGCTCTCTGTTGGTACAGCAAAACAAGTTTGTCCAGTCCTTTTTCCTCCATTTCTTCTCCACCTCTTCTTCTCCAATCTCTTCTTTGTCCTGATCAATGTAATATTTCTTTCATGCAGCCTTAGCTTCAGGCAGTCTCTTTCAGTGAAAGCCAACCCCTTAAAAATCCAAAGGTCTCTTACTTTATAAGCAAGTGTTAAAACTAGTTTATTTAAAGTCCTTAATAATGTTTCCTCAGATCCCTTTGGTATGAGTCCATTTAGTATCATCTCCTGTGCTAACAAGTTTATTTTGGTGACACTCAGAAAGCAGTGGACCCTTTCCCACACTTCCTTTGCATATATGCATTCCCCAAACATATGACCCATTGTTCCTCCTTCCCCACACCTCTCCTTTGGGCACCTTGATGAGCTTGTCAAGCTCCATCTGTGTTGCACCTCTCTTACCAGCAAGATATTTCTTACAACCATCCATGCTAGATCAGCATGTTCCCCTTTTAGTTGTTTACCTACCACCTCTCCCCACACCTTCACTTATTCTCCTGTGAAGTTTCCCACTGGTACCATCCTGTCTTTCTCTCTCTTACCCCATTCATCAATTTCTTACAATTCTTCAGGACCTCTACCCCTGCCTTCCCTATTTTATACCCCTGCATGAAACCTTCCATCCTGATGTAATGAGTCAGCAGTTCCAACGCCCATGGACTCTTCAAAGAAGTCTGATATAATCCCCATTTCTTCAAAATTGAAGCTGTGTGAAATTGGGTGATATGCACTGCTTTCCCCTCTCCCTCCATTAGCACCTTGCATACTGGTCTTACATATTTCACATAGATGAACAATCCTAAATTCAGCAGGCCCTGTCCACCCTTCTGTCTTGCTTTATACAATTCAGGTCTAGCCAACCCTTTCT